CGAGCGGCGATCCTCCGATGACGTTTTCCAATGGCTTCCGAAGGTGACCGTTTCTGCAGCAGGGCCTCCTTCGGTGCCGTTTCAGATATTGGGAACCAGAATAACACATAACGGGCCAGATAGTGAGAGAAGGAAAACGACAGAGAAGAGAAGGTGTTAAAAGCTACAAGCCGATTTTTCGTTTCAAAATTTGCAGTTTTTAAAGTTGAATTTTTGTTATTTTCGTCTTTTTGCTTTTTGTGTTTTGTGTTCACAAAGTTAAGAGAGGAAAATAGAAGAGGGAGACGTTGGTAGCAATCCGCAAGGATCCTCTTGAGCTACCATCATCTCGTGAAATGATAAAGTAAAGGAAACGACAATTGGCATTCCGCAAGGAATTACTTGAACCAATGTCGAAACAGAAGGAAAAGTATGTCAATACGAAATCATGTACAAGTCACGCATCACGACTAACAATATTGCGGCAACAAATACGTATGCCTGCAATTTAGACAGCAGCAAATCCTATTAATGAAGGTTTCAGTGTCTTTTGTCTGCGTCGGTGAGTGAGTGAGTATGTGTGCATGTTTGAGTGACAGTGATTGATGAGTGTTAAATGGAAGTAAGAGTGACCTCATAGCAGTAGAGTTGCCAACACGCTGAATAAAGTTCATTCAAACAATAATGCGACTAATTATTTATAGACGTAATTCAAAATTATTTCAAGTACCATATTGAATTTAACATTTAATAATATACGACAAAATGACGCATTAATGAATGGTGACGTGAAAATTATTAGCAAGCCTTTTCGCGAGCAAATCTTCTCGAGAATTTTCCCGAGGAAATAGGAGTCTTACCGGTCATGCAGACTTCATTTGACGGGGGGACGCGACCCAAAAAATGCCGTATTCTATGAAGCTTAAACGAGCTGGGAAAATCTATAAATTACCCACTCTATCTGCGGATCTATGATGGGCGCTCATGAAATGCCCTGCGGAGATTTATCATGAATCACGAACCAATGGGATTTTACCCAACATGACGGAGACATATAAGAGTGTGAGCGGTTTGTGATTAATTAAGTGGATCCTAAATCAGACTTAAATCCTAGTCCTAAATTAATGGACATAATTGCGGTCACCCTGGCTCAAAGTTTGCCGAACGTATGATTTACTTCAGTTACTTTAACTTACTATCATTGTCGGAACTATCATCGTCTAACGCCGAGTACATTACGCATAAAAACTGCAATCTCAAGTATTCAGACACTCTGACACTATGTATGAGGCTATCTCTTGACGTTATATTTAATAAAACGTGTCACGTTACAAGTTCCGTTCTAGCGCCGATAGAATTTGTCACCATGAATATGCAACGAATTGCTATGCATTAACCCTATATTGTGACAACTAGTTCAAACAATTAAAAGGGAATTGCAAGCTGTTTCTCTCCACCATTTACTGAGATAACTACTCCTAGTGAAAGTCAGATCAGGTCACCACAGCTATGTGAAGAATGACCATCAGGTGAGGTCAGGTCACGACAGCTGTCCCCAAGTGAACTCTGATTAACGACTTTCAGCTGAGGTCAGGTCAAGACAGAAAAATGGAGAGAGATGAATTTAATGAGAGTGAATGTTCGTGAAAGAATAAATTCACGAACGCGCTAAATTCGATACAATTGAAACAGTATAATTTAATCACGAAAAGAAATTAAATAGACGCTTAATAAATGAACGATTTCATACTGCTTAACTCCATACCGCGATTTACAGTAATGAGAAGTGAGGTCAGAAAATGAGAAATGAGAATGAGAGTATGCCATTGCTTGTAATTAGCACTTAAACCCAAAAACTAACGTGAGCTGGCTGTACACGGCCTACACATTTAGGAAAAAATAGAAAAGAAATGAAAGAGAAGGGGCCCATAAATGTGTATTCACGGTTTTCTGAAGATGCCATCTTGCGTTTTTCGAAGCCGAGCGGTTTGTCTTCGAAGAGTTTGTTCGGCTGCACGGCCGAAAGGGCGCAGCGACCACCGCCTGCCACCAGAATGTAAGGGTTATATAAACACCTCTATACATTGGTAACAGGGAAGTAGTAAAAGCTTAGTGGCTAGAACTCTTTTATTGATAGAGCTAGCACACAGAGAATAACACACAAGATGACAGACGGGTTAAGGCGAGGGCGCCTAGGTTAGACGGCACCCTACCAAACGGCAACCTGGCCGGGGGTCAGGCGTGACCCACCTCGGCACAGAACACTCTCGTCACACTCTGCTTTGACCGGATAAGGATAAGTCCGATATGCGAAGTTGTGCCTCGCCCGGGCTATGGGGGAGCCCGGCCTGTGCCGACTAATGTCGACTCGCTAACAGTGTGTCAGCAGGTGCTGACTCGGATGAGCTTAGTCCTTACCCACCGTTGTGCCCAGCCACAGCAGTAACCTCCAGGCGACAATTGCAACTTCTCGCGCCTGGGCGGGGCGCGAACCGCCGACCCCTCGGATGAGAGGCCGACA